TTTGTTTTCATTGTTTGCATTCAACTTAGCCAAGGTCATTTATTTTTTAAAAAAACGTGCCCCAATGCAGATTTGAACTCAAGACCTTCAGGCAAGCATCTGGTCAATATGCTACCATGATACTCTTATGGCAGAAAGGACATAGCAATGGAGGTGTTATATGACAAGCATGTTTCTGCTATGAGGAGCACCACCCTGCTTCAATACCTGCTGTCAGGGGTCTGTGGGGTCAGGGGTCTGTGATACTGGTTCTATTATCATGCCTCTCCACAATCTGCAAACCTGCAACTGTGTGCATCAGTTCATGTGTTGACACCCCTTTATGCCAAGCCAAAAAAGCTCTTCTCACTTCGTCATCCTGTCTCTGGTTCTATATTAGCAAAACGTTCAGTAGAGAACATGTGTAATAGCAAGGCCGTGTAGTGGCTTGAATCTCACTTGTCGGTCTGAGAATCTGGGGTGCAAAATTGACCCTGACTCACAGGTCAAGCTAGTTTAAAATGAGTGCCAGGCAATCCTGACTCACAGGTCAAGCTAGTTTAAAATGAGTGCCAGGCAATCCTGACTCACAGATCAAGCTAGTTTAAAATGAGTACCAGGCAATGTCCTGGGAGATCAATGTGGCACATGTGATGCTGACCAAAAATATTAATTTAAAAAAAATTTAAAATTGTTTTTAAAAAAACGTAGACTGCATTGAGCCTACAAAACTTATGATACTGACTGAATTCTGTTCATCCATAGGCCGATGTTATACTCCTATTCACCGGAAGTTTACAAATGTTTAAAGAAGTTGGATGCATCTGCCGAAAATATCGCTGCCCTGTTGTAAAGTCACAATGCAATTACATCACTCGGATGACCAAAAAGAAGAAAGCTACTCATATTTGTATGTAATATTGCTTATCTCAAGCTCACCTTCCGTCAATTTTTTTCCACCAACATGGTGTTTATAAGGATATTATACTGTGAGAGATTTGGTATGCTAGATGCTTGGTGCCAGTGAATGTCTTGGGGCTGAATCTGCATCAAGGTGGATTTTAATATCTGATCTAAGACTCCAAGATTGACCTAGCCTAAAATGGGAATCAGGAAATGTCCCTAGCAAGTAAAGACAGCCAGAATGATGTTGATCACAAGGGATTAATTGTTCTACAAAAACACACATGTGAATAATCTAGCACAGTGGTTCTCAACCTTCCTAATGCCGCGACCCTTTAATACAGTTCCTCATGTTGTAGTGACACCCCCCATAACCATACAATTATTTTTGCTGATACTTCATAACTTCAGTGAGTATGTTTTTCGATGGTCTTAGACAACCCACAGGTTGAGAACTGCTGATCTAGCACCACATGCTTGGTACAACAATGGCAGGTAAAATGGTAACTATAAAATACAACAGATTCCACTTCAGTACAATCCCAGGATAGACCCAGCAACTTTTTATCCTTCAGTCCCAGCAGATCACAGAAGATGCCCGGTTGAGACAGTATAGACAACAAAATTATAGGTATACTACGTTCTCAGGGACTAAATATACAAAGTCTAGGAGACAAATGTGTTGTCCTGACTACACTTGAGAGAAAGATACATACATAAGATGTTTTCAGGCTGACTGTAATATTCAGTCATGCATGGCGCATTGTTTGGCACTTAAAGAGTTATATGGGCCATTTTTTAAAAACTGCCACCACTGCCCATGTTAAACACTTCTGCAGTGTATGCAGTGTGGTGCTGGTGGCGGTGGTGGTGGCGGTGCTGGGGTCTTTGAGCCTGAGGATTTAGGGCCTCATGGCTCTTTCACCATAGTCTGTGAAGGTTAGATTTTATTTTTTGTCCCCGACAGAAAAACCCCAACCTCCCCAAGGATTTAAACTCAGATCTCTCACTTGAGAGCCAGGCATTCTAACTGTTCAGCCAGCCGCTCCTTTAATGGCCAATACTGATTTTTCTGTAAAGGAAAGGCAGCTGGGTGGCCAACAATAATTTATCAGTGACAATATATAATTAGTGATCTCACAATTCACACCCCAAGAGTAGCATGGGACAGGAGAAGCTGGCCAAGTGGTTAGTGTGCTTGGCTCTCACATGACAGATCTCAACTTGATCCTCAATAAGGGATGGAGATTTCTGTTGTTGTTGTTCTGGTGGAGACAGATTTTTTTAAAAAAATCCTAAGCTACACAGTTAGTGGTGTCTGCCCTAGGCATGTGGCCTTTAATCCTTTGGCCCACAACCTCCTGTCATACATCACCTTCAAAGTGTATACACAGGTTATAAAAGAGTTTTAAAGCACAGAAGAAAAACTGTAATGGATGAGCCAAGCTTGAAATACACCTTCCAATTATACCAATATTCAGTAACAACACTCTGCTATCAATGTCAAACATAGACAAGTCTTCAGAAGACAGAAGAAAAATAGACACGACAGAAATAAAATGTTTACGTACTATACTAGGTGTAACGAGGAAAGATTGACTTAGGTACAGTCACATCAGATACAACTGATGATATCAGGAGGAGAATCGGCACAGAACCAAAATACTGAACTTTATAGGTAGACAACAAATCAAATGGTTTGGCCATGCAACAAGATTGGCAGTAAACAGGGCACCACATACAGCAATGTTATACAGATACACGGGTAACAGACCAGAGGTCAACCACGCAGAAAATGGACTGCAGAAATATCAGAGATACTGAAAAGTAGTATATACAAAGCAAACAGAAGGGCCCGTTCTAGAGATTTCTTCCTCCTCTGATGCCGCAAGGCATTCCAGGAGTAGAGAAAAGAAGAAGAAGAAGAAGAAGAAGAAGAAGAAGAAGAAGAAGAAGATTCACTAACATCTTGCTTCAAGATGAAAATAACTTCAAACAGGTATTTATTCTCAGGCTGAACTAAAACTATCAAAAACACCCTGTCTTAAACATAATGACAGTAGCTTGTTTTCTATCAACTTTTCCCCTCAGTGTGGTTTTCATAAGAGTGTTATGTAAAGCTGCACACAACAAGAATGTTACCTTAACATCTGATTCATAACTTCAGATCAAAAACTAAGGATTTCAATTATCCGCACAGGGTCTTCTAAATATTATCACATACAATCCTGTTTCACTTAATAAAGCATAAACTGCTGATCATATCCACACAAGTGGCTAGAAAATCAGGAGATTGCTCACAATTTCAGATCTCTCAACTAATGCCACACATTTATATGTAAATGGTGTGAAAAACCACAAATTTCCCAAAATCAAGTTTCCAGGCAGTCACAAAACTAGGCTAATGGTGGAGTGATGTGTTTAAAAAAAAAGTATCATACATAGATCCAGACTAAATAACTTACATGACACACGACAAGCGAGTGGACTTAAATTTAAAAAAAAAAAAATTACTGATTATGCTTGACCCACACATTTGCTTTAGCAGGCAATCTGAAAGTTAAAACACAAACAATCATCAGGCAAAACTTGTGCCCAATGACATATTCCCTGTAACCCCTCCCCACCCTCCCAAACTAGGATGGCGACATTATCCCTGAATTATGTTTCAGATTTTTTCCACAGATGTATTTAATTACGTAAGAAAAAGAAAACGAGGTCCCTAATATCATGAGGATTCAACAATGTCTGTTGTGGAGTCAACTGGTGCGCTTTGGGCTCTTTGTTGCTGGTCTGCAGACGGAAAAATTAGGCTTTGTAAAAATACAAACCAGGAAAATTTTAGCTGTTGGTACTGGAATGACTTGGAATAAACTATATAAAAAAAAAAAAAAACCAGACAGCCATAACTGTCAAATGTATATACAATGTGAGGTAGCTTTTATTTTTTTATCTTTAACAATTAAAATTACAGGGTTATTCAAAATGATGGATAGGCTTTCAATCATGTATATTTCCCTGAACATACATTACATATTAATATTATACATACAAATGTTGAATTAGGAATCGACATAGCACTCGGGACACTCCCATAAGTGCTCCATCCCCCTTCTTCAGCAGCAGAGTTCCAATAACCCTCTGATTGTACATCCGTCTCATGTTTCCTCGCGGCGCCATTTTCCTCAGACCGTAATGATCTATTATATTATATTATACATACAAGAGAGAGAGGAAGGTCTAAAGTTTACAGACTTACAATAGAAGTTATAAATATTCAATATGGCCGCAGTCTGCTGCTCAGCAAACATCTAAGCGGTAGCCAAACTCATCCCACACAGAAAGAAGCATCTCTTGTGTAACTTGAGTGGCATGAGTATGCACACTCGAGTGGTTGGTTACACAACAGCACTCTAGCGGTAGTATTCTAAAACTTTAGACCTTCTCTCTCTCTCTTGTATGTATAATATTAATATGTAAAGTACATTCAAGGAAATATTCATGAATGATAGCGTATCCTTCAATTTTAAAAACCCTTAATTTAATTTTCTCCACACTTATATACAATACTGTTCCCCTAACTCTAAAAAAAATTATTTTATTCTAATTTATATAAACTCCAAATTCAAACTGCCACAAAAGCTTTGCAATGCAAAATTCAACAATAAACAAACAAAACATGTATTTGCATGCAGAGAATAAATAAAGCACTCACAATTTAAAACATCAAGAAATAAACACAACACGTAAGAAAAAAGAAACTGACAGACACACATAACAATCAGTGGAAATGTCAAAAAATTGCAATGGATTTATTTGTAAAACAAAAAAGTGCATCACAAAATAAGACATTATGTTCCAGGTTTAAAAAAAATAAAACAATAGGTAGAAAAAATAAAAACCATATAACTAACATAGTAAGCATATTTTGGTTTAAAAAAATAAATCGTATGTCAAAAGACCTTGTTCCGAGTTTATTGCAAAAGTGACCTTGACATGGCAGTGTGTAACTCTGAATGGCTGTCAAGAATGCAAAACGATGGTGACCAAGTGTGTACAGAAAGACATGTGGCTAACAAACAACAAAGCTGGAGGTTGGGGAGCTCTGGTGGACAATGCTAGGGGCTGTTGGCCTCGTGCGGACTCACACTGCTCGATGCCAATTTGTAACGACGGCGCCTGGAAACACAAAAACACCAGCCTCAATGATGAATTTCATTGCATTTATTATTACTATTATCATTATTACCATCATCATGATTACCATTATGCTATGGACATAAAGTTTCTGACAAGATAAGTTTACATTATAAATGATGTGCTTGTGGCTACAAACCTCAAGGGTGTGGTTACTGTTGATTAGTACTTTATCTTCAATATACTAGTTAGTATTGTTTGTACAGCAGTCTGACAGTGATTATTGATTGCTACAACGTGCTGCCCAATTAGAAATTTGTCTTAAGCCAGGGTACAGGGTTGGGTATCATGAAATCATCATGGCCGGCATGGTGCAAGCAAACTGATCATAACCACATACAACACTACACGTCTAAGCAGCAAACCAGTTTCACAACTTATCAATCAACAGCTGAACAAATAATATGCAGGACAACAAGCCGGGCACAATCAATTACCTGAGTTAACTTTATATCTAATATTTTAACATTTAACTTCTAGTTTTTTCTGAGCACAACATCAAAAGCAGTATATAAACATACATACATGAAACATACACGTGACAATAAATCATCAGTATATAATTTTTAATAATTTCTTAACAAACACCTAAAAATCTGTTACACTTTGGTTCTGGCTTTCCTAATGGTAATGGTATTATATTTACTGTGTTGAAACTATGATACCAATAGTATTACTTCAACATAAAATAATAGGGTGCTTAAAGGCAAGAGCTCTCAGTTTCAAACATGGGCAATGAATAGGGCACTAGAACAGGGGGAAAAAAACAAACTACCTATGAAATGTGCTGTCTTTGTAAGAAGGGAAAGGATTGAGAATAACAGCATTAGAGAGAAAGCTGGAATAAGACCACATCAGAATTAAATTGTCCCTGTGTTGGTTCCAGGCAGACAAAGAATAAAATGGTTCGGCCATCTAGTGAGAATGTACCAAACTGCAAATGAGATTTTTTAAAGCAAAACATCTTGAGGAAAGTTGGGTGTCAGGAGACCCTATGTTTTTTCGCTCTTGGCTAGAGTCAAGAGTGACGTCATTTTGCACCAGAGATGACATAGAGGAATATCCCTATTATATGCAGGTGCTGTTTGGAAAATTCTCAGTTCCACTAGTTTGCAATTTCCTGACCTGTATGCCCAGCACTTTCACATATAGAATTTGCTGCTAGCGAATTCGGCAAAGATGCTGCAAAAAACCTGGCCACCAATAGGACCACCCCCCCCCCCCCCCCGGTTGACGGGATTGCCAGTTTTTGACTTTTGGGCGCTAGCACGGAGATAGAGTGTGCAGTTTTGGAAAACAGCTTTGATTCTATCTTTCCAGCCGCCTAAAAACCCTAGCAGTATGACCGTACAGTTAAATCTACATCAAAGTGAGCACAATAATGATTATATACATCGCAATTTCCTTTTCGGAGCCGTATTTCACATATGATATTAGAAATGTACCAGACAGAGGAAAGACGTGATTCCTTTCTGCTGCTGATAGGTGGGTCAGAAACTAGACCTCTGAGAGGCTACTCCTAATTCCTTTTGTTCACTATCTAGGATGATACTTCTATTTTATTGTATCTATAATTCGTAAGAGATTCTCCATCTTCTATTGCTGGTACACAAATGATCTATGGCTGTTATTCCAAGGCATTCCAGAGTGAAAGGGTTAAGAGTTATCTCTTTCTGAGCAACATCCAAATATCTTAGCCCTAATTCTGTTTCTACACTGTGACTATTATTATAATATTTTTTTTGTTATATTTCAACTCATGAGACAGGAACAAATGAGTTTTAAGAATTTTCTGGTTTTTAGAGTTGTTGTTGTTGTCTGTAACTAGACTGCAATCATAATTTTCAATCCTGAGATAGTTCAGGTATTTTAAATTAAGAGAACATTTATTAGTGGGAGAAGAGCAGCAATCATCTGAACTGCTGACGGCAGTTTCTAAAAATTTGCTTTTAATGAAGCTCACTTCCAGCATAATTTTCATCTCAATCAGAGCTACTATAGACTAACTTCCCTTAAAACAAGCTGTTTATTAACTTCTTTATTCAGAAGTATATTTTTTTCATTAAACAATGTTTACACTAAATAATCTGCATCTTAGACAAAAAGAATTATATCAGAGTAATTATTAAAATATAAGGGATTAACAAAACAGCAGAATGGGACAAGGAAGAAAATAAAAAAGGCCAATTCTTTAAAGAGCAATCAATAAATGTACAATTAGTTTCCGGGGAATGAATGAGTTTAAAAAAAATTATATCCGCTAATGAACACCGACTCTTGTCAGCAAGACACCTACCTAAAAATATTCCCCCCCCTGAAGAACCAAAATCAATAACAAAAACCTATCACACAAACCTATCACACAAACCTATCACACAAACCTATCACACAATGCTACTGTGCAGTGTTTTCCCATGCAGAAATGTGTTAGAGATAAAACATCAACTAAGACATGCATTTGCAATAGCCACATAATATCCAATAAAGGCAAATTAAAAAGATAAATACATGCCTCTGATAGACTACTCCTGAAGCAGACTGGTTAGAATTGTTTAGAGCTATCAGTTCTGCCGCCAATGACTCAAGTAATTATAACAATTATAATTTAAAATATAACTGTTACATAACTGTAACAATAATGAGATGTATGTTAAAGTTTATAGCATACAGCAAACACTGTCTTAGAGGTTATGAAATATTAGGGACTTCGATATTAACAGACATGAGTTTTCAGATGATCAGTTCATTTCATATCCTCCTTTGTTATCTATCTAATGAAAACAGATAGTATAAGTTGCCAATTTTTATACATCTGATAAGATTTGCAACTGCAACAACAACAAATATAATGAAAACTTTTATTGAATATATATAAGATAGTGCAGTGGCTAGAAGCTTGGCTGCCATCTCAATAGCCTCAGGTTCAAATTCACACAGAGAAGGATGTTAATATCTGACCTGATCAACCGAGCATAAAACTAGCACCATTAAATGTTCCTGGAAGTAAGGGCATCCAACGTATGTTGACCACATTACTGGTCAAACGCCAGCTAGTCAGATATTCCATGGGCATTAAAGGGGTTCTCCACATGTGGGTTTGGGGCTCCATTTTGGAGAGCAAAGAACAGGTCACCACACCCTCTAACAAGCGTGTCGTAGAAGGTGACTATAATTAGAGGTGTTTCCTGCAAGGTTGGAGTATATTTGAGAAGCAAGAAAGCAACAGTCTGCTCATAAACAAGCCAGATCTTTGAAAAGGATGTGCAGACAAAACTCAAGCTCTGGATCAGGACCAAAGTCCAGAAGTGGATGAACAAATTACATCGGCGACCGGGTCGCCCACTGGCTCACCGGCAGACGGCTTTGTTGCTGCAGTCAGGACAGTAGTTGGGTCTCCTCTGATCACATCAACACTGCAGGAGTCCTTTTTAAGGCTCTTAGTGGCTTGCAGTGCTAAGCCATTTTATATGGCGCACATAACCTAGTCACAATTATAACCTAAAGCTCCCCCTTCAGGGATGCTGGTTGAAAGTGACAATTTTTTTTTCATGCAAAGCACCTACTGATGAACACAATTTTCTGTGGGGTTTAGAGCCGGTGAATGGAAAGAAGAAGAAGAAGAAGAAGAAGAAGAAGAAGAAGAAGAAGAAGAAGAAGAAGAAGAAGAAGAAGAAGAAGAAGAAGAAGAAGAAGAAGTAGAAGAAGAAGAAGAAGAAGAAGAAGAAGAAGAAGAAGAAGAAGAAGAAGAAGAAGAAGAAGAAGAAGAAGTAGAAGAAGAAGAAGAAGAAGAAGAAGAAGAAAAAGGTTCTTTTATTTATTTATTTTTTAAAATTATAATTAAAATTAATCCTAAAACAGTTAGTGGGTTAATAATACTGCATCTTTTTTAAATTGGAAAAAAGCCATGTGAAATTATTTATAAAAAATTTAATTACTGCTCAATAAAGCATGCTTTGGGTAACAATCAGGAGATAATCATGATAACCAATCTTGTCTCATGCAATAGCCACCAAACAAACACAAGAAACAACTCAGGCATGGCGTAATTAATGTTAATCTCAATTGTAAGTCTATGGGACAGTCACATGAATGTAGAGTTGATCTCAGTCGATTGTAGAATATACACATACTAAACAGTTTGTGGATTCTGGGGCCCAATCTGAGGTGGGGGTGAAACAGACCTACTGCCTCCTACGAACACATAAACAAACCAAGTGGGAACTCTTGAGGCCGCAGACACATTATGTATATAATAAAGAAAAAGACAATGTAATGATCGGCACTCATAGAAAGAAATAGAAAGATAGAAAGACACACAAGACAACATAAAAATCAAAAGCTATAATTACGGTGCTAGGAATCGACCCTGTCACCTCCAAATGGCGTGTGCCCCTCACTAGGGAAACAAGTGTACTAAGAACATGACCAGGTGCAAACACCATTTGGAGGCGACAGGACCATAGAGTCCTATCTTGATATACAGAAGGGAATCATGGACAGTAATTAAATTAGTGAAAACTTATTTGGAAGCTGCAGATATGTGGTTTTATAGACGAATGAGAATACGCTGGACAGATAAAATGAGTAATGAGGACATCCTGAAAAAAAACTGACTCACGAAGAGAACTGATTGCCCTCATCAGAAAGAGACAATCTACATTCTTTGGTCACGTGAGGAAAAGGAGAAAATTGTAGTACATCGCGACAGTGGGGAAAACTGGAGCGGAGGAGTGGCAAAGAGAGACCTAGAACAAATGCTGGAAAGTTTGACATCATGGCATAGAGGATCATCTGTGTCAGAGTTGATTGAAAGTAAACAAGACAGAAAGTTGTGGATAGACATGACTACTAACGCCACACAGCAGGGACTTTAAGAAGAAGAACTGTAAAGATGAAAACTATTGCCAGTGAGTTTTATACTATTCTTTTGTCTGTACACTGGTTACACATTAAAAATGTTGTGGATATTGCTTTATGTTATATCAATATAGTTTAAAACAAAAGTTATAAACAAACTTTTCAGCTAGTCCGTAAGGTGCAATCAGCCAGCAATAATTAATTAAATTCTAGAGCAGTGGCTCTCAACATTCCTACGCCGCCACCCGTTAATACAGCTTCCCCAATGTTGTGGCAACCCCCAAACAATTATTTTTCTTCATAACTTCAATAATATGTGATTTCCTTTGGTCTTAGGCGAACCCTGTGAAAGTGTCATTTGACCCAAAAAAAGGGTCGCAACTGTCAGGTAGAGAATTGCTGTTCTAAAGGATCATTTCATTTTGACTGTTTGATTTATAGATTTCTGTCTTATATGCCACCGTCTTATATGCCGTCATTTTAAATAAACATTGTCTCTTGGCATTCATCTATGTATGTCATCTGTTAGTAATGAATGAAAACTCAAAGAGACAGAAAAAGCCAGCACGAAACAAGAAAGAAATTCAAAGAAAAATTTAAAAACAATGTTTTACCAACCCTCCCCCTCCACTCCCCACAAAATAATTATCCTAAACATGACTTTAAAAAATGACATTCTGTCCAGGGAATTCACATAAAATTATGGGGTATTCAAACATATCCCACTTATGATGTACTGAAGTGCATATCTGTTACCCTGTAACTTATTGCTTGAATTTTCACTTTGTAGTTCTCTTTGTTGGCCCATAGGTCAACCCAACCTTAATTGGGCACCAGGCACAGTCCTGGGAAATAAAGGTGGCCAGCGTGATGTTGACCACATCACCTACCAAGAGCTGATTGGCCCATAAAATAAAGGTCTGTCCCTATATGCCCAATAAGCCAAAAATGTTAAAAAAAAGGTTCTTTCATTTCTTTTGAAATTCTCCAGATCTCGCCCATATACACACTAGCTCACTTCTGATTGGTAAACTTTGAGCCATGTGATCTTGGCAGAAGGTTTGGTGGTGTTCCGCAATGCTGTTGATATCACGTGTTGTATATTTCAGCACATCAGCACTTTTAACACTTCAAAAACATGGACAAACTAGGTCTAACACAACACGCCCTAGAGAGCAATGCAACCTATGTCACAGGTATTCTCTTTCTCTGAATAAAAACCTAAATGCAAGACAACCCAGAAAGCAGACACACCTGTAACTTGCAGGAAAGTAGACCAGCCCAACAAACTTGTGAATGAAACATGACCTACTTTGTTTGGGGAGACTAACTGAAACCTAACCTTTCATTTTACTAGTTCTCTCTTTTTGTTTAAAAACTCTAAGTGACTTTCTGTGTTAATGTCATAGTATCCGTTTTAACAAAAATATTTATATTAGAAAATAAAAACCTTATCAACTTTATGTTTGATTTGGGGAGGGGGAGAGAAGAACGGAGCTGACCAGAAGTTTGACAGATATGGCACTGAGATACTAAAGACTAGCTCATGCACTCTAAAAAGATGTAAAGGATGTCTTACCTAGCAGTGACCACTGCATTTTTAGGAGCATGACCTGGTGGAGGTTTTGGGACTGGTCCCCCATCAGGTTCAGGCATGGTAGCAGATCTGGCATCAAAGTATCCCCGGGGTGACGCTGAAGGGCCTGGTCTTGAAAGGCAACGTATATGCTGACCACTTAGTGGCTCAGATTCCCGTAATTTATTGGAAGAGTGTCGGGCAGCTTGAGGTCGTCGGGGGCTTTGGTCTCTCGACGTAACGTTCGGTTCGTCTTTCCCTGACAGGGCAAACCTGCCATCGATGCCACTTTCTGGTGGTATTGCTGGAATATCTGTGTTAAATCGATTGTCCACATTTACGTTCCGATCACTGGTTAATGCGTTTTTATCCCTAAGAATAGACTTCGGTTTTGGCAGAGGTACCGCATCCCTAGCACTTGAGGAATAAATGCATGTGGGAGGCTTGCTCCCTTCAGTGTGCCCCAGAACAGCAGTATCCGAGCTCTTATCCCTCTTGCCTGAAGAATGAATGGGTGGCTTGCCCACTGTGAGAGGTTTTCTGTACCTCTTGTCATCTCCCTGCTCTCTATTTTTAAACACAAATTTGGATGGACTGCCCACGCTACTGCTATGTCTCATAGGCGAGCCTATTCTGTTGTCTATATCTTTGGCAAGCTTGTCAGGCATTTTTCTGGGACTAGAACTATAAGACTTTTCTTGAGGCTGAGAGTGATGATGATGATGTTGGCTCTGGTGAGCTGGATCTGTGTGGCGGCTCAAGTTTTCTAGCACCCCTTCTGAGCCCTCCTCAGCACGGCTACCGCTTGACTGCATGACCTTCATCAGGTCAGTGTTATCGTCTTCAAACACCAGGGAGGTTCTCATGGTTTCCACGCCGTCCCTCTCATCGAGTAAAATTAATGAATTCCTGGCCATGCTATCCAGCTGGTGATCATCCTCATCAGCAAGTGTGTTCAACACAGCCAACCTTCTAGCCCTGGAGCTCTTCCTTCCCTTGTCGCCTCCTTCCTCCTCTCCGCTGTCTTCATCATCACTCCCTTCATCACTGGAACCACAAGCTCCCCACTGACTTGCCATGGTGAAGGGGGCGGCACGAGTAGCATTGTCTTCTGCAGCTTCATCACACTGAGTGTGTGTCTTATCATCAGTTTGCATGAGGGCAAAAGTGATTGCAGCACGGCTGGCTAGATCGGGCTGGCTCTCCAGACGCATGTTCTCATTCTCATTGCTGGGTTCTCCTGCATCCAGACTGCCAGTGTAACCCTGGTTGATGTTTCCTGCATTTCCAGGCTTCTCGCCGGCTACATAATCCACACTCCCACTTTCATATCCTTCATGAAGTTTAACAAGCCTGCCTCTGCCTCCCACCGAACTACCAGCTGGGTTCACAGACTGTTGCAAATCATAGCCCACAGAAGGACCAGGGGGTGGCAGACGATCCCCTGGAGAAGAAGTGTTATCCTTGTCTGCATATTTTGAAGAGCTCACTTGCTGGGAGCCAACAATCTCCACATTGACTGCTGAAGAAGCTTTTGCAGAACCTACACCCTGCTGCTTTGCCAGGTGAGAGTTTCCAGTGCCGCTTCGGTTTCCCCCATCTTTGGAAGAAGTTGCATCAAGGTTGACCCCCTTCCTGCCAACATCAGTCTTCTTGAGACCTTTAGACTTCTCTGTATCTTTACTCTTCTCTTTGGTTTTTGTATCCTGCTCATATTTAGCAGGAGGGGTGTCAGCATCTGGCCGCGACAGGACCACCACACCCTCCTCCACATATCGATTGTCCACCTCGTTGAGGGGAATCAGTTCAGCTTTCTTGAGTGGCTCCTCTCCTTCCACATAGCTCAGGTTTTCATCCAAGACTTCCGTAGCACCATGACCAGGTGTGTTGGGGCCCATGTTCACAGCACTAGACAGATAAAAGAAAATTACAATTATGTAATATTTACTTTGGGGAGTCGCTGTGGTGTAGCGACTTGACGTTCACCTGCGGATCAGAAGGTCATGAGTTCAGGTCCTGACAGAGCCAGACTTTTTCCAAAAATGACCTTGGCTCCTAGGTCGACCCAGCCTTGAGTGGGTACCAGGGGCAGTTCTGGGCGGCTCAATGCTGATCCTATCAACCACCAAATGCCAATTGGTTTATAAAATACAGGTCTAGCCCTATATGCCCAACATGGCTAAAGGCGCAGAGAAGGGTCCTTTACTTTAGTAATATTTACTTTCATATTTATAAAAAGTATGTCAAACATACACAAATTTAAAACCAAACAGAGTAAAATGCTAATACTGATTCATGATGAATATCTAAATGAAAGTCACAACTTTACTTATTGTTTTCAAAGCATGATGCTTATCAATATACATACAATGCCTTTTAAAAGAAAACTGACCAATAAATTAGGTGCCATCTCCACAATGGATCTCCAACATGCACTGTCTCTTATCCTGGTTGTACACTCTGGCACACTACTGTTATGTCTTGATGTCATTCTCTCACTTGTATCACTGTCTTCTCTTGATCGTTTGTCTTTAACTTTTCCCTCCAGTACGGATTTTATAAAAACATTGTCTTTTAATAAGGCCAAAATATGTTTCTTGCCTCTTGTTTGAAATAGTGCTTCTACAACTCTCTTTTGTATTCCGTCACTTCAAAACCTCTGTACATGACCCCCTTTTTTTATATAAATGAAATATTTTTCTTATGGCGTCTACAGCGATTTAATTCAATATGTGAACGGGCAAAAGTATGGATTGCACTATGTCTTAGAAACATAAATTTCAGTTTTTTGTTTCTTTTAGTGTAATTATCATCTTTATAAAATCTATACCATCTGATACTTGGTCTTCCTCTAGATCTAAAACCAGTTTCTCTCAACTGAAAGCAAAAAATGGTGACAGTTAACAGTAGCAGTTGCAACTTGACTAAAAGTCTGCCTCTGTTTCCCCCTCAATTCTGAATATCTTCCAGAACCTCCACAAACAGGCCGTTGGATAAGTCTTTCATGGTATGGATTCCCTATCTGATCTTTTGCATTGTCTATCTGATCTCATAGAGCCTTCACCACATCCACTTTTTCATAAAGGAGCTCACGCCCAGAGCAGCAGCAACTTATCTATCAGTCTGCTCATTACCTCGCACACCTGAATGTTCTAGACAGAAAATCCATGATACACGCATGATCTGGGTCTTATCCAGCCATGCAATCCACTCCGATGGCAGGATGCCAGTTTCAATTTTCTGAAGTCACGCAAAAATCAGGTCCGGGTGAAAGCCAAAAGTCCAAGCGGACGATTAACCGTGACCTTCTGCCGCAATTCACAGCCGGTGAACGCAAAAAAAAAAAAAAAAAAAAAAAAAAATTCTGAAGTGCCTGTTTACAGCATAGTTGTGATATTTGTGCCTTTTGGCCGACATTCATGCTTTGGTCATTTGATTTCGAGTTAGCCTTATTGGGCCCCCACAGCTGACTACAGGATAACAGTTAACAAAACACAAACTCACTTGGTTTGTCTCAGAGCATGCAAAGCTGAGGTATTGGTGGTGGTTATGGAGGTGTCCACATTGCACTTCTCCCAATCGAAAGGGTCCGACTCCCGGATGTTCTTGCGTCGCATGCACTGGTCCAGCAGGTTAGATAGCATGTTGTAGTCAGGCTGATCAAAGTAGGTTAGGCTCTGAATGTGTTCTAGAAATGCGCGGAATTCACTTGGCAGATTTTTTAGCAAATTGGTGTGATCGTATCGGTCTTTCATTATTCCAACCTGTCAAAAAGATTATAACAGATTACGACAATTTAATTCAACATTTCCTAAACAAGTCCACCTAAAACAACGTGATTCTATTTGCTGCTTAAATTAAATTAGAAAATATTTTTTTTTATGTTACTGCATACGCCCATCGCCACCATCATCCTGTATATACGTCACACAGCGCTGGCAGTCTATTCCGTATTCCGTTCTGTCCTATTCTGGAGCTGACCCCCACGACTAACTTCTCCTCTTTTCTTTAGCCTGGGACCAGTGACGGTTCAGATATTGTATTTATAAATAACATACATTATTTTCTAGAAAGACAGATGGTGCCGTATTACTGCTGATGAAACTTAAACGCACACAGAATGAAGCCATGAGATAATTCTGGGATGTGCAATAGATACCTCAGTAGCATCGATATAAACAGTAGCATGTATACGATATAAACTTGAACTGGCGACGATTACAGTATAATAAACAAACAATGTAATGATCGACACTTAAAGAAAGATAAGAGGTCACATCAGACAAGATAAAATTCAAAAGCTATAGTTTAGTGCCGGGAATCGAACCTGTCACCTCCCAATGGTGTGTGCAGCTCACTATGGAAACAATAGTACTAAGAATATGACCAACTAGTAAAGTAAAGTTCCCTTTTCACGCCTTTCGGCACATCGGGCATATGGGCAGAGCGTCCCATATTTTTACAGACCATCAGCACTCTGTGGGTAATGTGGTCAGCATTACGCCGGCTGTCTTTACTTTCCCAGGACAGCCCATCCTGGTACCCATTTTAGGCTGGGTCGACCTGCGACGTCCCATACCACGACAAAAATCCACTAGGCACCCCAAAAAAAGGTGTCTTCACTAACCATGTCTATCGTACAGCTTGAAATCCACAACTATGGAATACGGGCACAGTTCATCTTAATCTATTGAAATGGCACCATAGGTTACAGAAATTTATATTAACCAAGCATAGGTCGAATAATTAAACACAGCAACAAGTTACAAACACTGCAGACCATAATGATCTCTCTAGAAATCACAAACATTAAGGGAAACAATTTGGCAGTGCTTAAAGTAAACTTTCCATGAATTTGTTTGGGCAAGCTCCCATGTCAATGGTGCTTAAACAAATGTTTTGATAATGGCAGCTGATCATTAGTGCCCACATGGTGGGAGAATTGGTTAAATATTTTCGATGCTATGGGATACTGTCTTGATGGTTTTGATTCAGAGAATGAATGCGAAGATATTTCTGAACAGTTTCATGACTGTGACTTTGATAATTGTTACAAACTGCTATAAAAAAAATTGTCAAAACTGGAAGATGACGTTTTGCTTATAGCAGTGACGTGGCAGTCAGTGGCAGGTGTGTTATGTTACATTAGATAGGGTAAACTGTTTCATGTATATGCTTCAGGTGTATAATGTTAGATGCGTTTGTTGTGTAGATAATGTTCATTATGCTCTGTGGCTTAAAGTTTAGTAAAAATCGTTTCACAATGCAATACCCAACATTTACTGGCATGCACATTTTGCATCTTTTTGAGTTTGATAGTTCACTCAAATTGTATCAGATGTTCTTGGTGCAAAATAGAAAACAGCCAATTAATTTGCAGAATTATATTTCACAGGCAGAGCTTTCATCCAAGAATATTACACCCCAAAACAAAACAAAATTAGTTTTTCCTGGTGTCAGAAATTTTTTTTGCTTGACTTTAGTCTTGTTCTAGAACTTAAGATCTGCATGCACATTAATTTTACATATCTGGTATTTGTATATAGTTTGTTGGATGCTCATCTCTCAGGCAGATGCACTCTGGTCAAAATGGACGCTAGGCACGGCCACTGTTTGGAGCCGCAACAAATTTTTTGCTTTTGCTAGACGGTGGCCGTTGCATTTTTGCTCCATTTGTAGGCTGAAAGGATATAGTTTCATCACCCAGCTTTTGAGTCGAGCGCATGGCGTGACATTGTAAGCTGCAGATTTCATTTGGAATGTTTTTCAACTGTGACTAACGTGGTGGTGTGAATTGTAGTTTCATAAAATGGCACAATTTCTGTTGTCGCAATATTGGTGGTGTAATTATCATTCATTATGTGATTAAAATTGATCACGTGCGCAACTGCTGATCTTTTGGTGACTTCTGCTAGTGCTACCATACATGATGAACTGCATTACTAATGTCAGACTGTTTGTGTTAGCACTTCGGATAGATACCGATACTTTTAATGCGAGTGTATGCTACATATGCTGAAACAACAGTCTGCAAATCTCTCCACAAGGGACTGTGATAAACATTCTGTGTGTTTTTCATTGGCATAGGAGCGGAGCAACTATGGGGTGACCCGTTTGCTTTGAAGCTGAAACTAAGATTACTAGATTACCAGTTTACCCCGACTCCAAAGAAAATACACATAATTAGTGACTTTTCATGAGATCTATTCTTTTTACCCTAAAACTTGGCTCCAGAATCTACAAAGGCAGTTCAAACTATGCCAACCAATCAGTCAACAAACAAACTATAACTACTACTAGATATGTAAGAAGTGTTGACTTCCATATTATTACGAGTCAATGACAAAGTTGGAGGGGAAGAGAGGCAGGAGGAGACCAAGAGAGAAAGATGCTGGACACTTCAGCATCATGGCTTGGAGAAAGATCTGTCAGAAAGGACAGAAAGTACATGTGACAGAAGACAACTGACAGAAATAACCACCGATGCTGAGCAAGGCATAGACTATCAAGTAAAAGAATTTTCTCCCCACCACTGGGGGTATTGAGCATATAGTGCTAGACCTATATCTTACAGAGCAATCAACACTCGGTGAGTGACAAGGCCAACATCACATTAGCCACCTTTACTTCCGAGGACTTTTACCTGGTACCCATTTCAGGCAGGGTCAACCTGGGACCCAAGGTCCACTTTTTTTAAAGAAAAAATTTGGCTCGGCGCATACTGAACCAACGACTTATGGGCCTGCAGGCGAGTGTCTAGCCGCTACACCTCAGCGGCTCCCGCCATGGACTACAAAAAGAAGAAAAATGTATCTACAATACCTGTTCTTTGTCTTTTATCTTTCGCCACGGCAGCTGGCCTGATACAAATTCTACAACCATGTAGAAAAGAGACCACAGGTCATCATGTCGTCCCATCTCCTGCACAGAGACAAACAATTGAAACTGATCTAAAAGCAAGCACAGCAGACTTGTTAAAACTGAAACCAACTCCTCTTTCTCTCTCGCATCTCTTTCTCCACAGCATCTTTATCTTTCGCACATGGTACTGCGGTTGACAGCTAGACCACAAAATCTGCACTTTTCTGCCCGAACCCATCTGATTTTAGCAAGTTCTTAATTAGTCGCCTTTTACAACATGCTTGTTAAGGGGCAGTCAATCAATTTTTCTTTCTCTGAAAAAATTGGCACTCCAGAACTTTCATGGGAAACCTACAGTATATATAAAATATTAGTTATAACCTATTCAATATAAATTTTATTCTTTTCCCTCCAGATAACTACAAACCAGGCAGGCTTTATAAAGGCAACACACAAAACTATCCAATTAAATATTTAAAACTATTACAAGACTAAAACTAATAGAACTCCACAGGAAAGCAGATATTCAATATCAAAAGTAAGTAAGTAAATGCCCCACTTTTCAATGGAAATAAAAATAATAATACAAAACTGAAAATAATGTAACAAGTGCACTTGGAGCGACCAGATCCAATTTGCTGACTTGGAGCCTTTGAACTTTGATGCCACCCTCCTAATGTTCCACAGGTTGCTGAAGTTATCAGCAATTTTCCTCAACAGTGTCCATACTAATTACTATTTTGACATTTTAATCTCCGGCTATGTTACATTTTTTAAAGGGGTAACCTGACTTCTATCTCAGAGCTACAGCAGAGAATAGCAGTTCCCAACTAGCTAAGACCCCTTTCATTTTTAAAAGTCCCCGTACTTTTTAATAACAATAATAATACAGAAACAAATTGTTATAAATATTAGAATCATAAAAAAGGATTACATTGTGTATGTGCATATATATATATATATATATATATATATATATATATATATATATATATATATATATATATATATATATACTGTAAATGAAATCAAGGACCCCTTACATTTGTTCCAATGACCACTGGAGGTCCTACTACTAACTTGTTTAGAGCATTTTGTTTTGCCGTTCCTCTACTGACACAATATAAATTACTATCCACAAATAAGAAAAGATAGTGCACTTACTCTGTTCTGATGTGCATTTATGGATGCATAGCGCACTGTGCCCCTGAAACCGGCAGCTAAACGTGGTTGCCTGACATCGCCAGAAGCTGTGGTGTACTGACGAGCCAGGCCAAAGTCTAACATGTAAACCTTCCTATGATTTGGATGTCGACCCATAGCAAAATTGGACTGCATTTAAATGAAAATAGAAATTCAGAATTCTGTAACTTCAGTCATAAGAAAGGTAGACATAATTTACACATCAAAATGTCTTTTTAGTCACATTTTAATTCTTTATTTAAAAAGAAATGAAGCAAAGATGGTTATTCTTCTTCGCGTTTGCTGGCTTGTAAACTCTGACAGAAAATTCTGAGTGTTCGCCCACCTCCAGACTTCATAGTCTTGTTCCTGAATCTGAGTGTTGCGTGCACATCTGTTTCACAGATCCGGTTTATTTGTATGCAGAATCTTAGTTACTCACAGAGCATGTTGAGAATGGTTGAGACAGGTATGCTTCGTGCAGAGTGGCAAGCCTCACTTCAGAGGTCCTGGGTAGTTAACATACTTTGGATATTCTCTCCAGGGTATGCCGGTGTGTTGGAAAATAAGCAGGCAGATAGACTGGCAGCTTCTGCACCACTTGGTGGTGAACTGATGTATGATTAGCCAGATGTTGTAAGAGCCCTCTGGGAGCGAGTGAACAGTGCGGAAGCGCAAATAGATCATTATGGTCTGAGAAGAATGGCGCTGCGTGTAGTTACCAGGGGATCTGGCCGACGATCAACACTCAAAGGAAAGGTGAGACGGATATACAATCAGACAGTTACTGGTGTCATCGAAATTAGAATTCGTTTGCTGCTGAAGATGGGGACAGAGTGCTTATGGGGGTGTCCTGAGTGCTATGGTGTCGATTCTTAATTCCACATTCCTCTTGGTTCCATGCCTCTCAGGCAGATGTACTCCAACTTCGAATGAATCCCCTAATCAGTCGGCCCCTAGAACCTGCACGGGTAGATGGCTAATAAAACTGGCTAATAAAACTAACTCCCAAGTTAAAGTAGTCATATGAAGCACTTGAATTTTAAACTCATTAGATACTCAAAGTAGCTCTACCCCCAGGTGGTCTTTAATCCAACCAGTTATCTTTATAAAGGCATTGACAGATGTAGATATGGACAACACTTGTGACTCCTATATGCCTTTGTGAGACCTGAATTCAAAGATAAGTGAATCTGTGTATTCTTGTTTGTAATTGCATTCTTGTCCATTTGTTATATGCTGATGAAGGTTTCCTAGCCACAATGTTAATTTGTCATTCATGATTGTGATAAGGGGAGGCTGACTAGTTCTACTTCTAATTTGGTTTGGAATATTTTACACTATTTGAAACAGCACTTCAAAGAACAAGTATCCAGCCATCTCGATTTGAAACAATACTTTTAAAAAAAAAAAAAAAACTATCCAGCCATCTCCCTTTGAAACAGCATTTCAAAGAACAAGTATCAAGCCATTTCTATCTGAAACGGCACTTCAAAGAACTAGTATCTAGCCATCTCTATCACTAAAGGTTCTGCGTTTGCAGTTCATGTGAAAAGTTTGGAATCTCCCCATGTTATGACCTTAATGCACTTTACTCTTAGCTGATATGGAGAACTAGTCACACCACCTGATGCCATGGCCAATAACACGTTTGTCATTGCTTTCAGAATGGACAGCTCTCTATACTACTGCTGAAAACTATGCAGGGCGCCTGCTGCCAAACTGCCCACAGTTGGAGTCTAGCCTGGTATCTCGCAATAAGGAAGCACATTCACAACGCCTAAGCCAAATACGCTGATTACACATAAATAAAGAATTAAAACACACTGTCCCAACATGTAACATAATGATCTGTTATTTTAAAGCCCCACCTCGGCTGTAGTCGGGGGTGTTAGCATAACCTAATTGTTGAACGGGATTTCTGGGACCTGGACCTGGATGATTATCATCCAAATGGTGGCACTTTGTATCATTGGGTGTTTACTGCTCATTGTGCGGTCAAGGTGGGGTTGAACATCAGTCACTTATTCAAAAACAGCAACACATTTTTATTCTGCTGCAGCCTTTCGCCAGTCAATGGAGCATAGGCTCTCAACTAACTCAAGCTAAGCCCTCTGTAAACTTTATGATTGGTCTGGGCTTTCACAGCCAGTTTTCTACAGAAGGAGATGATCAGCCTCACACCAACTCTTCTTAGTCATCTATTATGACACACAGAGCAGGATACAGTGTTACTATTCTTTACTTCTCTTATGGGCTCAAATTAACACATAACCCTTTCAATCCACAAAGCCTTTGGTGGAAACCCTACAACCTGGGAGTTTCTAAAAACACATCCCCCCAAAACAACCTTTTTACACACAAAATTCATTTATTTATTTACAATAATTTTTTTAAATGTTGGTGTAAAGTATGAATTGGGAGTAATCAATAAACATAACCCTAGACCCGTTAGGGTCATGGAAATGTATCAATGGAAGCACTAAGTGTATGATAACTTAGTCCTGTTATTTCTTGATTTTGTCATTCCAGGTTCTTCTTTGCCCTCCTCTTCTTCGACTAACCCCTAATGTTCTGTGAAGTACAGTCTTTGCAATTAAATCATGTCTCACCACGTGCCCAAACCAAACTAGCTTGCAACATTTCACCACTGCCAAGAGAGGCTCCTGATATCCTGCAAATTTGTATATTTTGTCTCTGATATATTTGTTAGTTTTGTGTTCTAAAACTCATAAAATGTGTCTGTAATGTTTACATTCAAAAGCCTGAATCCTTCTGTTCATTTCCACAGTGAGAGTCCAACTCTCACACCCGTATCAGAAAACAGGAGTAATCAATAAACATGAACAGAGTAAAGAACTAAATGTTTTAATCCCTTGGACTCTAAACATTTATGGGGTGACTCATACCATGAAGCCGTTGGAACTCTGTGCTTGTGACTCTGAATGACAAGAACTCCCTGAACAAATAAAAGTGTAATGAAGATGTCTTGAAGGAAAATGATTCAGGAAGAGAAGAGCTAATTACCCACATGAGAAGGCGACAATTTACATTCTCTGACCATGTTATAAAAAGAAAAAAACAACAACAGGAATACACCATGACAATGAGAAAGCTAGAGGGGAAGAGACAGAGAGAGAAAATACTGGATAGTCCGACTTCATGGAAGATTATCTGTGTCAGAGTTCACTGAAAGTACATGAGACAGAAAGTTGTGGATAGACATGACTATGCCATACTGTAAGGATTGTAAGTATAAAAAGACCTCACTGAAATTCTAACATCAGGGCTACAGACAAATTATAATGTCACAATTGTTTTAAAAAGTCATTTCTCTTTCTTGCTTTCTCTCTGTCGCACAAACTCCTTTTTCCTCCAGTGCTTTTTTTTGGTAAATATAACAAAATCCAAAACTCCTAAACCCTGTACAGGTGCAAACAAAACCAATGCCAATAATTAGGTTTTTCAGGGCCACTGCAGAAATGCTAGGTAAACAGCAACTACGGGATTGTGTAACAGACGCGTATGATGGAAAACAGTGTTTCTGAGCAAAAAGGTTAAGCAATAGAGCATATTATCTTATCATTTTAAAGCTATAAAAAAAAAATCTGCATAAAACTATTAATTTTCGCTTGTTTAAAAGAGATTAGGTTAACTTACGGGTTTCACATCTCTATGTAAAAATCCAACATCATGAATAGCTTCGATTGCATGAAGTATCTGTGAGGCAAGTCGTAGAGTTGTACTGAGAGAAAAACAGCCACGTGGCTGACTTCGTCTCAGTTCTGCCAAGTTCTTACCCTGTAGTGACATCACCACATAATTGTACCTCTCATTTCGACCACAGCCAATAAAGCGGCAAACATGATCACGTCCTAAAAACACACCAAGAGGCAAAAAGTTTAACGCTGATATAAGTATATTTGATTCGTAGCATACATTTTAAAAGCAGAATGCCAGCTCAGAAAATCAGATGCAAATTAAATAAAACTCAATGCATGATAAAAAAAAAATTAGATGTACAAATTCATATGAGAAAGACGAAGACAAAGATAACAGCAAATCAAGCAAACAATAATTTAAATCTTCTATGACCGTCCCATTTCTAAATGTGGATTCAAACATCTATTCAGACTGCATTTTAGAAAAAAATCTGAGGGAAGAAGATAAAAATGTAAAAAAAAGAATACAACAGGAAATTTGTGGAACAGATCAAATGGTTTGGACAGCTGTCAAGACTACAAGCAGATAGTGCACTACATTGAGTCCTGTCACTCAGACAGAAAAATGAAAGCAGGTCTAGAGGCTGACCATGCGAGTGATGGCTAGATGAAATATCTAAGGCCGTAAACACTAGCACGACATAGCACATAACAAGGCTTGCCCCCTTTGCCTTTTCAAAACATGATGCTGAAAGGCAGAGGATAAGAGAAGAAGAAATATGTGGATATCAACAAAAATTATACCTCGTTTTAAACTTAAAAATATTTCATTCTAACATCTGATCAGGAACACAAACGTGGACTGACAACATTAGAACTACTAATAAACTATAAACATTCCTTGTTTCATGCCTGTGTAGAGTATAAAGAATAAAAGGCCATTTTCACCAATGTGGAGCTTAATGACAGAACTAAATAAATTCCAGTTAATCAATATGATGGCATTAGAAGTACATGCCCCAAGAAAAACAGAGCAGCATAACTAGACTGTCCTTACACTGGAACCCACATGGCAAAATATATATAAGAAGACTGTCAGACACCTTTTATAGGTGTGACACAGGTACCGTTGTTATTTGTGCCAGTGTACCCACCCACACTTTCATGAACATGTAAACGATGATGACCTTGTTCCAGTTCTCAAAGAATGTTTGTGATGGCTTCCTCACAACATTATCGACTACTGAGTAGCCACCCATTTATTCTTATGGCTCACAAGCATACTAATCCCAGGTAGTCACTGGCTAAATACATCAACAGTACGCTGGTATAGCTGATCACAAATCATCCTAGCAATATGGACAAAGTCATGAAAGGCTAGCGGATGCCTTTATAGCAATAATTACGTACCATCCTGGCTACCACACTTAACTTTATAATCCGGCTACACAACAGAAACACTTGTCACAAGTACGAATAACCACTACTGTCCTCTCCACAGCTTTAAATCCAGTCCATCCCAAGCGAAAAACAATTCCCACATTTTAAAGGGCACCAGACAAACACATCCGTTCACTGGACTGTCAAACTACTAACTGCCGTGTATCGCTCTACCTGTTTGTCAAGTCCCCTTGTAACTTCCCCACTCAGTTACCCGTATTGCCCTGCGGGCCTACACACAACACGTCTAACCAGTAATTGACCTGTCTGCTGTTATGAGTCAGTCGCTATTTGTCTTTCTCTCACAGTGTGTGGTAAAGTTGACTCATGACAAAGACCCAAAAGATAAGAGAACTGGAGACAGACAAAAATATGAGAACATAAAGTGAACCACACAAGGTGGCAAAGGATTGGATGGCTCAGCATTAATTGGTAGAGTGACTATTTCTAATGTGGGACAGAAGAAGAAGAAGAAGAAGAAGAAGAAGAAGAAGAAGAAGAAGAAGAAGAAGAAGAAGAAGAAGAAGAAGAAGAAGAAGAAGAAGAAGAAGAAGAAGAAGAAGAAGAAGAGGAGGAGGATGAGGAAGACAACGATGAAGAAGAAGAAGAGTTTGCCTATTTTTATCCTCCTGGCCATATGGATGTCTTGTTGACTTTATTGCTGTCCCTTTAAGCATGTCCACTATCCCACATTGTCTCCCTCTAGAGTACTTCTTCGTGTTCACCTGCTGTAAACTCTGGCAGAAAGTTCTGGGTGTTCATCCACTCCAGACTATAGTCTTGTTACAGAATCTGAGTTTTGCGTGCACATCCATTTCACAGATCTGGCTTATCTGTATGCAGACTCTTGGTTCCTTGCCTCTCAGGAAGATGTACTCTGACTTTGAAAGATGCTCCCAGTTAGTCAACTCCTACAACATACTTGTTGGGGAGGCACTGGGTGTATTCTTGTCTTCCCCACCATGGGGCCCCAGAACCCATTCTTGGATCCTGCTGAAATTCACATCAACAATTGGCAAGGTTATTATAAAAAACCTGGGTCCACTACATACAGCTGAGGTAGGTCCGGGCAAGGCAAGCTACAATGTCAGCTGAAATAACAACCTCCCAATGAGGCACCTCTAAGGACAACAAATACACACCTTGCAACCTTTTCAAGACAGCAACCTCCATTTTGAGCACCTGTTTGACCTGACGAGCAGATTCAAGTTTAAGAGCAACACTCTCGCGATTGACAAGATCAGTTGCTTCATAGATTTCACCGAATCCACCGCCTCCAATTTTCTTCACCTGGGCAAATAAGAAATATAATGACAGAAGATTGCAAAGAAAAATGTTAAATATACAAACTATCATCTACATCAAATGCCTTCACGACTGGCATGGGTGGTTGCCCTTCTCCTTCCCTTGTGATCTCCATCAATTCATGCGATGTGGCACGGTGATTTCGGTCACAGGCTTGAGGAAAAGTTGAGTCTGATGCAATGGGTATAAGGAGATACTCTGTATCTCACCTCGGGTGCCAGGTTTCTCAGTGGCGGTTTTCATGGAACCTCATGCAAAACTCATGCTGCACGTCCCCGTCACGTGCCACGGATAATGTCTCAAATGAGCATCAACAGAGCTAGCATGGTATCTCGGAGCTGGTGCCCCCCCCTCCACCAGGGATGCAGTGTCTGGCTCTCATCAGCCCACTCCCAAAAGCATGGGTAACAACATCTATCAAAGCTCATTTGGAACATGGGTAAAGACTTAACTGCTCAAACTCAACCCTTGACCAAGAGATTTGCCCAGAGCTTAGAAGAGTAACATCTCCTGTGTGCGGCTTCTCAAGGTAAAATCCTGTCTGCGTACATCCTGTTAACCCTCAACATCATCATCACCACGCTGAGGTACACCACCATCAGTCTGCTGGCTAGCATCAAATGTTTGACAAAAATTTATCCTATGGTACTCCAGCAAAATCTCAGTCAGACTGTCACAAATCCTACTGATTGAAAGAACGGTTCAAATGTCCGTATCCACTGGCCCTACTGGACCGAGTAATGGGACCAAACAGGTGAAGCCATGCCTGATGCATGCCTCTCCATACTGTCGCACTAAGTGCATAATTAAACCAACAATAAAGGTGTGTAACATGTGAAGAAGACTGTACTTAGTTGTGAAGTCCTGGACCTGTGAGCTGTTCCCTGCTGATCTCCAAAGGCCACAGCCCGTGACTAGTGGATAGCTCAACATATGGTTGTGAGGTTAAGCAGACATGTGAAGGACGTGAAAATTTCTTGAGTGAGCTCAGAACTACAGCATCGTGTGTCAACTGCAGTTGTGGAAACCTGGGATGGTAGGAAATGCTCATGATCTGCCCCTGCCTTCTCTTAAGGGATGTCCAGTCTACATGAGGTTGCACTACAGGGATTCTACAAAAGCTACATCTATAGATAAAGAGGACACCACACAAATGAGGCAACATCATGCCCCATCAAACAATGGCCACAGTCATCCTAGAGATAGGATCGATGTCTTCCTTTAAAGTCAGAGTATATCTGCCCGAGAGGCAGGAAACAAGTACTGCATATAAATAAGCCAGTGAAATGGATGTACACACAAAAATCAGGTCCTGGTGCAAAGCTAAAAGTCTAAATGGACGAACAAACAAGACTTTCCGCCTCTATTCACAGCCGATGAAGGCAAAGAAGAAGAAGAATTCATGTGATGACACTTCTTCATGCTAAAATTTTAACTAATTGTCAAAAATGTTCTTTTGCTGTGTTTCTCTCTCTCTCTCTCTTTGATGGAGCTACATGGAAGAGTGGAAGGCACTGTCGCAGCACAGACTTCATAGATGCATGTGGCCCTCTCAACAACAACAAAAAGAAGACAACTCAATAACAGTATCGAATATGGGAGGTCCATGTGTGAGTTCCGAGGCCCCATTGTAAGAAAAATAAGAATAGACCCAATGCCTCCCTAACAAGCATGTCGTAGAAGTCGACTTACTTAGGAGCTTCCTTTGAAGTCAGAGTGTGTCTGCCTGAGAGGCAAGGAACTAATAGTCTGCACACAAAAAAGCCAGATGTGGAAAATTGATATGCATACAAAACTCAATTCTTGGAACAAGTCCAGTCCAGAAGTGGATGAAAACTAGAACTTTCCCCCACAACCGGTGAACAGAAAGAAGAAGAAGAAAATGGGATTGTCCTTTCTACATTTAGCTTTCCAGTATACAATTGTATCACTTTTTTTTACAATGTATTACTACCGGTATCACTCACCCTTTTCAACATATTCTTTGAAAAATTATATAATACATATACCCTGATCACACACAATTCACAAAAAAGAAAATCACTAATCAATATGCTTTGCCAACATGAATCTTCTGGATGAAAGAAAACAATAATGCTCAGCCAGGTTAAATACAACATCTAGAAAACATAGTAGGGAAATCACACAGGGAACAATGGGTGGGGGACTAAAGACAAATCATATTATAATTACACTCGCATCACTGCTTTTTACATAGACAAGCATCGCTGTTCACTGGTAAACCATACTCGCACATAAATGTGATGAATTCAAGAGGGTTGATGAAATAAGACAAACGTCTGGGCAACCATCAGTAACAACCATTTATAAGTTTATTTGTGTATTCAATAAACATCATTTATAAGACAAGAAAGAATGGCTCTATACTGGACACATCCTGAGAAGAAACAAGCAGAGAATCCCCAAACAGGCACTAAACTGGGGAAAAAAGGCGCTGGGGAAAAGGGGAAGGGCAAAAGAAACCCTAAAATGAATGTTGATGAGAGAGGCCAAAGGTCCTGGACTGGATTCCAACAAGGATACTGAAGTGACTGCACAGCAGAGAACAGAATGGAGGAATAGACTGCGAGCACTATGTAACATATATTGGTACAAGACTATGATAAAAATACTGTACTCACAACTCGGAATCTTTCTTTAACCACTTGATTTATCTGCAAGAGGTCTTCTGCTGCAGTTGTTGCTGTCATGGTTACGGCAGTGGTGGGCTTGTGTGTCACTCAGAGATGCACATCAACCCATGTTTTATCTTCAGTATCCTAAAAAAAAAATATATATATATATATATATATATATAAAAAATTACACAAACAGAATTGTTAGTCTGTTGTAAGAGTTCGAATAAACTGTCAATATCCTTTACTTAACTCGGCTCTCTTCCGAATAACGGTCCCAAATGAACTACACAGACAGTAAAACAAAACAGAGCCTCGCAATGCAGACAGTTAACCCAAACAGAGCCTCACTCATATGTAAAATTCACATTTCTTTTGCAGCGATTCAACCGTGTTAAAAGTAGGATTAACTGCGGACGACATTTTCGCGAAACGGAACGGACTTTTTTACGGCGATTACACGGCGGCAAAACTAGGATCAACTGCGGACGAAAAAAATTAGCAACGCGCGAGAATACTCCCGATAGCGCTATCTTACAGCAGGGCCCAAGTTATATGTAAGTTGTGGACCGCTTTTCGCCGACTATAGTGCCGCCTCCGAGAGTATCCACCGCGCCGCCATGCACGGCGCGAAAGGGGCTAAACTAGATGGCTGGGACTCATGAGCAGCAGCTACCGCAGCTCCTGAAGCTTCCTCCAATGTATTTGCTCGTGAGTCCTAGCCATCTAGTTTAGTCCCTTCCGCGCCGCGCGTAGCGGCGCGGTGGATACTCTCGGAGGTGGCACTATAGTCGCAGGAAAACAGTCATGAGCTACTTCTTCCGTCGCAATGGAAAGTGTTACCGCATTTGCCACGGTCAAGAGGTCGTCGGGATAGTGGAGCGTCATAGTGGCAGCTGCTGGTTTGAAGTTGTCTCGAGGCGACTGCTGGTTTGAAGTTGTTCCAAGGCGACATGCGCGTACATTAAAACGCGCATTATTGATTATGTCTCGCCCGGAACTAGAATCGCGGACAAGCCGCGCCCTGTTGAAATAGCGAACAGCCCGAAAGAACAGATATTCGGGCACTATTTGTAACTTCTGTGCCACAATTTTCACGTATAAAGAATTTCAATGTCGGTAAGTAGTAGAATTCCCCCATTTTCCTCATACTTTTTGTTCCTTATATTTCCAGAGTTACAGCTTTCAAATGTTTGTAGGGTAGGACGTAATGAGGCTCTGTTTGGGTTAACTGCGTAGTTCATTTGGGACATTAACTCACTCTGTCTCAAACAGTGTTTAAAATGTTTATATGCTACCCCATGAATTATATCTGTCTTCTTCAATCTTCCTAGGTTATGTAACAACTACTTTAAGGAAATGATAATCTTAGATAAAGAAGTATAAATACTAGTTGTTGGAACATGATAAGACAGTAGAGAGTGTATGAGGAAGATTCTGACAAGATATCAGACACAGTATGTGGAAGATTCTGACAAGACAGTAGATACAATGTATAGAAGATTCTGACAAGACAAAAGAGTGTCTGAGTAAGATTGTAGGGAGGGTGTGAGGAAGATTCTGACAAGATAGTATCATAGTAGGAGGCATGAGAAAGATTCCGACAAATCAGTAGAGAGGGTGTGAGGAAGATTATGACAAGACAGTAGAGAGGGTGCCAGTGTCAGGCAGATGACAGACTGCCCTCAACAAATTATTAGGAAAGAAGAATTCAACGAATCATGTGGATCAGAATGGCATACTAAAAAAAAAATCTGGGATAGATTACACTAACATAATCAATGTTATCAGACTCTCCTGTGTCTCTGGTGACGCTTTCTGTTGCCAAAATCGTTCTTCATTTTCACTAATGGATGTAAACTCCCGACAGAAAGTGTTTATTATATAAATATATATACTGACCATTATATATTATCATATAATTTTCTTCTTATTCTTGCCGGCTTTAAACTCCGGCGTATTTTGATTTTAAATGACGACTTATACTTATTAAGAATAGGCATAATAAATGACTTAAAGTATGATAATTTATAAACTGGTCAAATATTTATTAAAATCACTATACGGACAACTGCTCCAGAGAAAACCAGACTTAGTAGATGTTAACGAATGTGAATAAACGCCAGGTGAAATGAGAAAACGATATATAACAAACCGGTTCATAACTATCAAGGCTAATCGTTCAAGCACTCAAGAATGTTGCCCTAACAACGTCTAGCCCCAGGAAGCAGCCATGTTGAATTTTTTAAAGGGAGCATTAATTGGACGGAAATGTTATTCCTAACGGGAGTATTCCATTTATCACTCTTTCTTAGCAATATCAGTTGGTTAGAGTCAAGAAGGTCGACTTCATTACATCTGGTGTGTTCCAAATGGCTTAGTCTCTCCCTGATAGAGTAGTACAAAGCATGAATTCCTTAGCTCCAGCGAAGATCCCGAGAGGTCTCCCAAACAAATGTACCCGTGAACCGAACGATGCGGTCAGTCAACGAACCCACGACTTTCAGAGCGGGACGCAAACAGCAGGCCACTTCGAGCTGCAACTCTTCCAGTAACCCGCCCTGATTGCACCCAATGACTGACTGTTGTTCGTTCAACTATTAACGTTATCTTCCCACATATATCACTGTTTACCTCTTTCTCGCACACCTTCAACTTATCCTACCACAGCTCTATTATTATCAGTTGCGCCGAGTAAACGAGTAAACAGCAAAGACAGAACACATAAGCTCTCTCTCTCTCTCTCTCTCTCTCTCTCTCTCTCTCTCTCTCTCTCTCTCAAGTAATAACTGTCAAGTGTCGCGCTAAATGACCAGTGGAGAAGAGTACTCTCTCTCTCTCTCTCTCTCTCTCTCTCTCTAGTAATAACTGTCAAGTGTCGCGCTAAATGACCAGTGGAGAAGAGTACTCTCTCTCTCTCTCTCTCTCTCTCTCTCTCTCTCTCTCTCTCTCTCTCTCTCTAGTAATAACTGTCAAGTGTCGCGCTAAATGACCAGTGGAGAAGAGTACTCTCTCTCTCTCTCTCTCTCTAGTAATAACTGTCAAGTGTCGCGCTAAATGACCAGTGGAGAAGAGTACTCTCTCTCTCTCTCTCTCTCTCTCTCTCTCTCTAGTAATAACTGTCAAGTGTCGCGCTAAATGACCAGTGGAGAAGAGTACTCTCTCTCTCTCTCTCTCTCTCTCTCTAGTAATAACTGTCAAGTGTCGCGCTAAATGACCAGTGGAGAAGAGTACTCTCTCTCTCTCTCTCTTTCTCTCTCTCTAGTAATAACTGTCAAGTGTCGCGCTAAATGACCAGTGGAGAAGAGTACTCTCTCTCTCTCTCTCTCTCTCTCTCTCTCTCTCTCTCTCTCTCTAGTAATAACTGTCAAGTGTCGCGCTAAATGACCAGTGGAGAAGAGTACTCTCTCTCTCTCTCTCTCTCTCTCTCTCTCTCAAGTAATAACTGTCAAGTGTCGCGCTAAATGACCAGTGGAGAAGAGTACTCTCTCTCTCTCTCTCTCTCTCTCTCTCTCTCAAGTAATAACTGTCAAGTGTCGTGCTAAATGACCAGTGGAGAAGAGTACTCTCTCTCTCTCTCTCTCTCAAGTAATAACTGTCAAGTGTCGTGCTAAATGACCAGTGGAGAAGAGTACTCTCTCTCTCTCTCATAATTATGAAGTGACATGGCAAGTCTCCAGTAAAGAGCACACAACTCTCCTTCACAACTCTCTCCTTCTCTCTTTCTGTGTGTGTGTGTGTGTGTGTGTGTGTGTGTGTGTGTCGCTCTGCTCACTATTTCTCTCACAATTATCAAGTTTCACATTAGGTAACCAGTGAAGCAAAGCACACACAATCTCTCTCTACCTCTCTCTCTCTCTCTCTCTCACACACACACACACGTCAGCGAAGAAGAGTACAAGCACACATAAATAATTACCAAAGGTTATGCCAAGTAATGAGATATCTGAGAAAGGTTGTCCAAGTGACAAGAAGGGACAAAGTCCGCAATCAGACAATATGTCAAGATCTTGATACCCAGTCCTTACAGACCCAAGTGGATCAGTCACAGCTACGATGGTTTGGACATGTGTGCAGAATTAGAAACAATCGCTACCATGGCAGGCATGGGAGGCTAAGAACCAAGGAATCAGACCTCCAGGGTGACCCAGAGTTCGCTGGGAAGACAACATCCGACAGTCGCTAACTGACAGAGGACTGGAATATAACAAAGCTAGGAAGAAAACTGCTGATAGAGACGTCTAGCAAACCTCTACACCCCAAGGTAAAAGAGGGGCGACTAAGTAAGTAAGTATGCCCAGTAACAGTTAAAAGCAAGCAGGTTTACGCGCGTGCACACACACATATACATACTGCCGATTAGCGCAGATATGCTCAAAGTGCTGCAGGCGTGGTCCTACCTCACAGTAACCGAAGACAATAAACACATTCAGCAGCGATTTTCAGCCTTGTAGGGGAGGAAGAGGCGACGAACGAACGAACAAACGTTTATTTTCAAAGGGTCACAAATTGGGCACGCAGGCCCTTCTTACATTCAGCCCTTCCAAACACCCGTCTTTCACACTGCAGCTGAGTTTACAAGGGGGGCGACGATGTTACAAGGGATGTTGGAGATCCACTGCAGCCAACCTTCACTGTGGAGACGGCAACTCAATGACCTCATTGAATGTTTTAAGTGAAGAGCAGTTGTTAATTACAATGCTGTGTTCTCATTTGGGAGACCTGCATTTGATGCCATTTTTTTTTAACCAAAGTTGACAACTGTAGATGTCAGACCTGCTGACTTTATATATATACACACACACACGCACGAACGCACGCACGCACGTGCACACACACACACACAAGGTCTGACAATTAAGTAATGAGACTGATTTTATTATGCCATCTATGAATCAAAGAATGGAATCGAAAGAGGCAACCTTCGTCTATGATCTGGCAACTTTTCATCGCCACCCGATAGGCAGACAACAAACAAGCCGCCATTTTGTTAGCCTAGTCAAAGGTGCAATGTTACGTAATCAGCATGAAGCAGAACAAGCTAACATTAAATTCTGTTTAAAACTGGGAAAAAG